CTCTTCTTTTTCTGTTTCGCATTCCTTCTACCTATTTTGGCGTCCTTTCTAACTTTCTGGCGCGTTTTTTTTTTCCACTCGCTTTACGTTTTTTACTTCTTGCTTTCTTTGGTCGCCCTGTCTCTTTCTTTCCAGCCTATTTTCACCCAAAACCCTCTCTTGTTGAACTTGAATTATAACAATTTCCTCCGGTTGATAAAGCCTTAGCTTTGCCGGTATTGTTGCTTTGCTAGTTAATTAGGAATTTGAAAATACTCAAAATTACTGTTTAACTACAACCTCACCAGTTTGATTTCCCGCTCAAGACGCAGGCTGCAAATTATTTGCTTACGAGGCTAACGATCTACCAGCCCGCGTGAAGCCCTCGTGTAATGCCTAACCGTGTGCCCGCGGTACGCTGCACTACAGCGCAGCACTTGAGTATGCGCACTTCATTGTCACCTGCCGGTGTCTTTTAGTGCACACTAATGGGCTATTCAAGTTACGCACAAAATGGTGCCTGCACATTACATCAAATCCAATTGTTTTGGGCTTGATGGGTTACTACTATTTCCAATAATTGTCCATCCTCCATCCCCACATCCAAAGTTTCCCACGTGACAGAAAACAGGGATCTTTTGGGAACCAAACATTAGCGGGTATACTTAGCTTCGGCTGATGTCGCGGACGCAACACGAGCTGCGTTTCACCTTACTGCGTCTGCGCATCCCACTAAAATCAAACATCAAAAGATGTCGGAAATTACCTTTTACAAAGCTATTGCCATAGGTGTGATTTCTATCATTTTTCTGTGTCTTGATAAAATCATGCCACAATTTCAGCAAAGGGTAGGGTGCGTCCACAGCTAAGATGATATTCCTTGTCACTGTCTTGGCAGCATAGGCTAAAGAGGGACTTTCAATCCTCAACTTCCATTTTAAAAATGAATCAAATGGAGGTGTATGAGACATTTTGCAGCGCTGATAACTTCTTTATTATTTTCTTTCCGAGATATTGCTTGAGAAGCTGTTAAAATCTTGTCCAAGTAAGAAGCTTACTATTTTGTTTTTCAAGTCAAATTATTTTCGCGCCAATGCTGCAATCTATGTCAATCTTTGAGCCTTCAGTAGCTGCCCTGTGGCGGTATTGTCCGTAACAGGCTAGGTTACTATGTTTTTACAAAATGGCGATCGAAGAGTTCTTTGATATGTTTTCAGATCTTATAATTTTAGTTTTTGAGTCAACGTCTCTACTGGGAACAAGACTTTTGGAAGTCGTTTGGCAGCGTGGATTCACAATTTTATGACTTCAAATAGCCTTCAATTAGAAGGTCGGCTTTCGAAGTGATTGAACAGACGTGGGCAATTGATAAAACAACCCTTGTTGTGGCTGCAGGGGAAGCTTTAGCTGACCAACATAAGCCATTTTAAGACACTCATGGCACCAAAAAGGTTTAAAGTTTCTTCAACTGGGGCAGATCCTAGCGAAATCGTAAGAGTTTGAGAACGGAGGTGAGTGATCTGGACACTCTTCTAATGCATTTCAGACGAGGGCATTTTTAGTACACACTTCCAGAAAATTACTGTGTGTGATTTTCAAAATTTTCCCACAGAAAGCCTTATGCAGCCGCCATAAATAAACTCCGTAATTTGTCTTTTATGTGCATGCTTAGCCGCCATGATGTCTTCGATTTCTAGCCATGATAAGATTGTCCACTTTCGTTTCAAGCGTCTTATGGCGGTACATGAATGTTGTCTGGCGTCGCTTAAAACAGGGAACACCGCAAGGACATTTGCGATGAAATGAACTGCAAACAGCAAGCGCATTTTGAGAATTGATCGACTTTGGAAAATATTTTCTGTGCTGCTCAACCTGTGAATAACTGATTATGATGATTTTGCTTCGTAATTGTAAGTTATCATCGTCAAACACAACTCGAATTTTCTTGCTCGCACTCAGCGACATCTAATAGACAAGTTCCAAGTTGAAGATTATTTTTAACTTAATTCACTGTGCTTTGAAATGGACTTTGAAAATCTGCTAACAATATAGCTGTCTTTCTGATGAAAAATCGTTGAACGGCCGATTTGTGAGCGGTGATAATGCAATTTAGTAAATTCAAACTAATTTTCTGTTTAAGGAATTTTCTTAAGGAATTGACTACATGATTTTTGCATGCATGGATGCCTACATGTTCAACGAAGACACTGATTGTTTTGTCTTTGGTCCATATATTTTGATATAAATGAGTAAAACGGTAAAGACGGTGATGGGCTTATCGAGGGCTGTGCTTTTGGCAACCGGAATGTTACATTCACTAGTTTCGCATTTTCCCGGTCAATGAATAAAGTGAGATATTGCCATTTAACGGAGTCGTATAAAGACATAAAGTGGGTAGGTTTCCAGGGATACTAGGGTTTTGCGTCGGTGGGATATTAAACGATAGTTTGGTTCTTTCAGCTAAGTCAGGATAATCTAATTTGGCAACTGTAAACATCATCTAAAGTTAATATTTCGATTGTTAGCCCTTGTTCAGAGCGAAAGCTCGAAAGCTCTGATCAAGGGCTACGCTCGAATATTATCAACTCAGTAAACAAAACCAGATTATCTCGTATATATTAAAGCTCTACACAAAATCAAAAAGATATCAGATCACTCTATGTTGACATTCTGCCTTGGTTCAGCATAAAACATTTGTTGGGCTAATACAGATTTAAAACGGGAAACTGAAACCTTAATTCCGGGACCAACTTGAGGACCAGCTTCAACCCCCTCAGTCCTTATAAACTTAATTTACAAATGTTGATAATACAAACTTAGGCAGCATCTAAATAAAGTGACCGGGGCTGTTTAACATGACTATAACTTCTGTTCATTTACAGCCTTTATGGCCTTCAATACCTCGTTTGTGGATCGTGCTGCTCGATAAGCGTTACAGTTGCTTTCCATGTTTGAAACAACTTGTGGGAGATCATTTGTCTGTCATGACTCTGTGCACTCTCAAAGCACAATAAAATAATTCTGTTGTCGAAGAATGCCAGTTTTAACACAGGATAGTAATTTACCTTTGAACAAGGTTGCCCCAAACTCTGAAGATTTTTTAACTTTTTACTCTAACATAAGAAACAAATTCTCCTTCCCTGAAAATTAAATCTGTTCAAGATTAAGCCAGAGCACAGAAAGAACACGTAAACAGTTTCTCTGAATCCATTAAGTGAAATGTCAATCAAATAAGTGTTTCCTATTTGAAACCGATTGAAAGTGTTTCAAGGTGTTTCGGAGTAAATTCAGTTTACATCCGATTTTGCTAATTGAGTGGTCTCCTTTTCGCGTATCTGGAGGTTTCGCTCCACTACTACCGGTAACTTTCCGAGTTTAGGCAGGCCTTGGAATTTGATGCAAACAGCATAAATTATAGTAGTGTCAAAGCAGATAAAGATCAGAATTATGTAGCGGCCTAGCATCACCATCCTGTTTCAGGCGTTCTGTCAGGAAAACGAAGTGCTATACTAAACCACCCTAGAGTGGTGGAGGAGTGAAAAAAATACGAGGGAGATTTTGGGTCGAGTGCGTAATGACCCGACCCAAGCTTCCCTCGCTCCTATAGCGCCGTTTGCCATTTGGAACTGGCTAAGTATGACTCATGCGGTAGTCGTGCGTTAAGTAACACGCCTAAGAATTTGTAGGCACATCAACACTTTTATTGAGATTACGCAATTGTAAATAAATTATTTCAAATATGTTAATTTTACAGTTAAATACGGTTCAGCCAACAAGAATAAAGTTGTTGTACAAGTATAAATTCTGATTAATCATTTTGTGAAAACTGGAACACTCAGAGCTTAAACGGTTCAATCATCTCAAAGCCATTTTACTTACAAAATTTATTTTGTGGTCAGCACCCCGCTTTATTAAGATTGAACCCTTTGTGATCCAAAGGCTGCATCAAGCCAACACTTCCAGAGGTTTTACTATACATTCGATTGCAGTCGTAATCAAAAGAGCAGAGCGATATGATCGGGTGAAAATCAAAACAAAGAAACGGAAGAAAAATATCGTTATCTCTCACAACTCCGTCGCTTAGGTTCCAGTGAAATCCTATCGAATTGTCGGAGTCGTAACCGGGAGACTGTTAGGAAGGGCCTGAGAACTGGCATTGGAGTTTACCCCAGAAAGGAAAGAAAAGAAAGAGTAATAGTTTTCAATCATGCTTTCATAATATATCGATTGATTAATTGAAAAATTTCAAGATAAGTTTGTTCATTTAATTGCTACAGTTCCCAAAAGACTGAAAAAAGGCAAAAAATGGTTGTACGGGATCTAATAGGTTGTGATAGATAAAATTACCATCCTTTTGAAACAAGGTCATGAAATTGCCAAATTTGGTGGCCTGCCGAGGATAAGGATACCAATGGTTAACTTTCATCATGCTAGTTATATGATGAAATAGTGCAATTTTGGATTTTCGTTTCCTTTTTTTTCAGCAGACGTGTGCGTCTGCAAAAAAGAGACAACTGACACCATCCCATGAACAGTTTGGCTTAAGAGTGGTGTTGGTGTAACTTTTGTTTCTCTAGAATCATAAAATCCGAAAATCGCGAGCTAAACGCGACATTTTTCATGTTTTTCGCTAAAGCAGAAAGATGCGCGAGGTGAGCGTAAAGAACAACACGAGCGATAAAAAAAAAAAAAAAATTTAAAAATGGAAGTCACATTTCCTGTACTTCTTCTTTTCTGTGTTACACTCCCTTGATTCGCTCACACTTAATGACGTGGACGTATTACAAACATCGAATATGGCTTCTTTGCCAATATTTACTTCGTAAAAAAATCCTGAATTAGCCTTGCGCAAATGGAATGCTTTGAATTTCATTGAAAAAAATTATACTAGAGACAAAGCTAACCAGAGGAGAATATAAGGTTAAACCCATTGCTTTATTAGCCTTTAAGCTTTAGGACACGACATTTTCTTCTTCATGGTGGCTTCTCGGCTCAAAATTTGGAAAGTTAACTGTGTCCCCTGTCACTGTACCAGGATGTAACCCATAGCTTTGATGTGCTTGTGTCCATTATCTGGCGAGTGCGTTGCCTCATTTCCACACGTGTTCGAATCATTAAATAGACCTCCGGTGCCAAAACCAATTTGGGAGTTACAGGAACCACAGTGATTCTGCTGGTTAGCAGTGATGCCGATTCTTGCTTTGGAATAACCAGGCTTGCTTCCCACTGCATTGAACCCTTCCTTATTGCAGTTGCGCTGCAGGGAGGCCCGGGAACCAATCAGCCACTTCCACGTGTTACGACCCAATGAGGTGGCGCGGTATTTCCCATCAGCGATCAGTGAGAACAGTGAGTTGGCGTGCCTGTTGATGACAATGAACCTGAGCTGATGACCAATCTTCATACCGAGGCAGATCTTGGAGAAGGGTGTGCTCCAGTAGGTTGGTAACTTGGTCTCTTGTGAGTCAAAGCCAGTCTTGCCTCCAGCAAAGTTATAACCATTTCTGTTGCTCCAGAATTGGGAATCGTAATGGAAAGTTCTCTGAAAGACAAGAATTGCATTTTTGATTTGCCCATGTTCATTTCAATAATATTAAGAGTTTCGCAAAGGAGACAGGGAGTTAACCTGCGTGCCGGCAATCTTCATGGTCAGTGTTCATCCTCCATCCCCACATCCAAAGTTTTCCATGTGACAGAAAACAGGAATCGTTTGTGAACCAAACATCAGCGGGTATACTTGGCTTCGTCGCGACCTTAAAGAAAAAGAGGAATTAAAAAAGATTGAATCAACTTATGGGTAGCCATTTGTGCCAAAATATCCATCGCTAGTAACAAACTCAATTGTTAGTGCTAAAATATCAATCTCTAGTGATAAAAACTCAATTATTCGTGCTAAAACATCAATCGCTAGTGATAAAACTCAATTGTTAGTGCTAGAATCGACTTGTCATCGATTTTAACTTGAACCAGTCTCCCGCTTGTTAAGCATAGATGAATCAATCAAATCTTGCTTACTTTCTTGAAATCTGATAAGGGATAGAGAGACCGGCACGGACTCCCCATGTGGCTTTTGTAGTCGCGTCCCATAATCGCCTTCAAATTATGTTTCTACTTTCACAAGCGTGTCCTTAAGGGATGCTCCCTTTTTTTTACGAGATGATTGGATGTTTTGAAAACTTGTTTTCAGCAAGAGCTGATTGCGTATTAGACTCCAATGCTCCATCAGTATTTGTAGTATCTGTAAGTTTTTAACTGCCTGGTGGTACGTTGTGATAAAAGACAATTAAGTGGAGGAGGGGGGTGGGGAAACAGGGGGGTCAGAGTCTCCTGCTTCCCCCTACAATGTTCTCCCACCTCCCGTACTTTTATGCCCCTTTATCTCCCGACTCTCACCCTTCATTGTCTTGCTCCCGTCTTCAGGTTAATCAAGAGGATCAAAAACCCCGGTTTAATTTTCAAACTATGCCAAAACTTAACATTCTTGTTCATTTTCTGGCCTTTGGTGGATATTAAATGGAAATTTCAAAACTTTAATAGATGAGTGTTTTTGACTAAATAATACCCAGTAATAAACAACAAACTACCGCCTTCTTTATTTCTGCTCCCGCTTCCCGCCCTCATATAGATCCTGCTTCCCGCCCCCTGTTCTCCCGCCTCCTGCCCTCTCCCGCCCCCTGTCCCCCTCCACAATAAACGTTGGTGACCTTTTAGCTTTTGTGTACGTGCAAGAAACGATTGTCTAGAGGCAAAGCTGACCCCTGACAGAGACCATTCCATGATGTTTTCTGGGTACCTTCTCGCTTTGAGGCCTTGTTTAAATTTCAAAAGGTCCTCCTCAAATGTTTCTTTCGAAGAGTTAGTTCCAGGCCATGTTATTGCCTCGCCTTTCTTGATACCGTATTTTACGTCTGGTCGATAGCACGAGGCAAGGTATGAAAATTTAAAAATAGGCTCGGTCAGCGAGAGAAAGAGAAAACAAAACGTCATCTATACAACATTTCCATTCTCTATGCTTAGTTTCGCTTTGTTGGATTAATTTCGCTTCAATTAACGCCATGAAAATATTAGCGAATGACACTGCCATTTTCGTACCCACAGCGGTTCCATGTGTTTGGAGGAAGTTCTCCTAATTGAATTAAAACGGATTTTCTCTAAGTATTAATCCAAAAATTTCCCTGAGGTAGTGCGTTGGGATCGGTGCTTTATGGTTTTGGAACTTTCGTATGCTTCACACACTATGTTCGTTCCTTCTTCTTGAGGTATATTTGTTTACAAGCTAGAAAAGTCCATCGATATTAGAACTGTTAAATCCTTCCGTTTGGATTTTTCCCTATACCCAATGTCACGCGACCAGTTTTCCATATTTGGATTTGACCATGTGGTTGAAGGTTTTGGCAGATCTTGTCTCACTAATATTGTCTTGTTTTCTGGACCTTGGACTAATAAATCAAAGCTGGCGACGAGGATGGGATCTTTTTTTGGCCAAGCACAAGCGGTAAACACGAATCACGTCTGAAGTTGACGAAGGCACGACAGGAAATGCCGAACGAAGCGTCGAACGTCAACACGAGTCAAGCCATCGGAAAAGTGACAAAGTAGGTTGTGGGAACGGACTGGGAGTTATACACCGAACAGCTGGGTTTTTATTTTCTCGCAAATGGAGTCACGGAGGCTAAAACGAAGGAGGCCGTACTTTTAGCAAATATTTCAGTAGAAACTTACCAGCTGGCGAAGAATTTAGTGGCCCCAACGTAACTGAAGGATGACGCCATTATGTATACTGTCATAGGGGAGCGGATACAGAAGGAACTCAAACCTGAAAGGTCAGCGACTCTTGACAACCGTTGACGTTTTTCAGGGAAACAGCCGCAGATTTTTCTAATCCCCTTTCTCGTTTATCCCACTGTCCTGTATCAACACTGAATTTCTTCGCGGATAAATTGCTACCTTATTGCGATTAGTCTTCATGATCGGCGTCCATCCTTCATCTCCGCATCCAAAGTCTCCCATTTGAGAGAAAACAGACATTGGCTTTGAGTCTAAGTGCAGGGTATCCTCGCCACTATTTTTCGATCTACTAAATAAAGAATCTTCCTAAATAGAGAGATTCAGTTGAAACTTGATGAGGGCCATGGCTTCCATATATTTAGTAAATGAAACAAAGTACTTTTCGATGGGGCGAAAGTTTTCAAGATGGAGGCTAGTGTGCAAGTTTATTATCAAGGTTGCTATGCTTAGCGCAGTATCATTTTCAGAATTATCATTATTAGAACTACTGTTATTTTCATATTCTCTCATTAAATTCCGCGCCGGTTTTGTTCTTAGTGAATAATTGACTTACACATTCCGGTCGAAAATTTCCTTACAAGTCGAACCTGAAAAAAAGAAAAGGCATATCAACAGTAATAAACCCTTTAGGAAAAAAAGATGGGATGGAGTTTTGAAATGCTCTCAAAGGGAAAATTTACGCGTGGAATAGGAAATACACAACGTTCTTGGTCACTCGTGTTTTCGTAACTTGAATTGTTAGCGGTGTCTAATGCGCTAGATATGAGAATAAAGCAGCGAAGCCGCGAATTTACCCAGCTTAAGAAATACAGCAGGTAAAATGTTACCCGAACGGCAGATATTTCCATCTCCATAGTATCCTTGTTTGCATGTACAGTTGTACGATCCCTTAGTATTGTTACACACAGCATCAGCACTGCAGTTCTGTCTTCCTGTAGCACATTCGTTGATATCTGAAAAGACTCTCCTTTAATTAGAACGTCGTCACTGCATAAATTTTTAAACTAATGCTGATTTAAAGATAAAGTGCAAACAACAAGTGGAGACCCACGTTTGATCCGATGTCTTGAGAGCCTTGCAATTTTGTCGCAGTTCTCTCGAACATGCAAAAGTACCATCAATCCATTAAGGAACTGATTATTGAACACGATTATAATACACTTTTAATTTACTTCTATAAAATGTAAGGTAACCGATTCAATATGAAAACCTTCCCCCCCCCCCCTCTTTTTTTAACGCCAAGAAATGGAGTTGATAACTTTCGTACTTCAGGATGATTCTAATCTGTTATTTCTCTCTAATTGGCGACCAACAAATATATTTTTTTTTATATTACGGTATAATCTAGCCGACAGAAAAACACTACAATTTCACTAAGTCTACCACTGTATTAAACCCTATGGCTAATTTGAAGGTTTTTAGGGTGGAAGTTTGCTTCTTTAGTTTTCATTCCCTTGTTCGTCAATTAGAATAACAACTTTGGTCACTTTTACCTTCGCAAGTCCGTCCATCTCCAGAATATCCTGGTTTACACGTACAGTTGTAGGAACCCTTAATATTGTTGCACACAGCATCAGCACTGCAATCGGATGTTCCCTCGATACACTCGTCTATGTCTGCAACATTCAACCTCATTGATGTAGAGTATATTAAAGTTAAGTTCTTGGTTCCAATTTCACTCAAATAATGCATAGAATTCTTGCGAGCGGCATCCGCACTGCTGGTTTGTCTTCTTTCAGTTCATCTCTATGAGCCCTCCCATTTTCCGGATATACAAGACCACCCAAAATTGTTTTGTTGGTTCTTTTTTTTAATGTAACCCTTAGACTTATGCCAGTTTATTAAGAATTTCTTTGTTTCACTCCTCCTAAGCTCCATGCATGGAGCTCATACAATGATTTTTTAGTCACAGACGGACATCTTCTCCATAAAACTTATAACATGCAGACTTATTTACCTTCATCGCAAGTCCGACCCTTGAATCCAGTGGAACATAAACACTTATCTCTTTTGTCAGTAAAACCATTTAGACAAGTGGAGTTGTTCTTGCAGGGTTTTTTTGCACAAGCACTCTGATGCAAAAATAAAAAAAATTCCCTCAACGTTTTAGTAAGACCCATACCCCTGTCTTTTAAGTCTTGCTCCTTCTGGAGATGCAACATTGTGATAAGACTTGTAAAAAGCATCTCATTCCAAATACATAGGTTATTAATTAAAATCAAAACTTAAGGGGAAACAAGAATCATTTTGTTATGATATGCAACTAGTATACTCCTGTTTTATTTTCTGCAAGTAGGCTAAGTACCTTTTGGCGACAAAACACCAAAAATATTTAAATTTGAAAGTCTGGACATTTATAGGTAAAAATTGTGCTTTTATTTCAGCCTTAAACAAATTAAAGAAAACTACGCTGCACTTAGTATTAACTTATCATAGCTGGGCAAGAGTCCACTGACGTTGACTATATGTGGGCCTCTTACGTCAAAATATGAACACACACCATGGAGACCAATTTTCTCCGACTCAAATTCTCTTTTTTCGAAATTGGCAAACATTTCACAATCGATCCTTTTACCAATAAGCATATAGATGAATAGCAATGACAAATGTATTTATAATAATTAAAGCGATGATTTCATGCTTGTGATCGTGAGTGTAATTGCTCTGATATCATAGCATTTTTGAATGAACTAACTCCTCAGCTGAATTATAAAAAATAGGTTTTGTTTTCCTCGAATCTTTTAGTCTGCTTCGTGCCCTGAGTAACATTTTTCTTTTTACAACTGCATTTTCCTTCTGTTTCTCAAGATCTTTCTTGAAACAGTACAACTCAAGTGATGCAACCAAGGTGTAAATCGTCCTTACCTCAAAGAAATAGCGATGCGAACTCTTTTTTTCTTTGTTTTTTCCTCACACCACAAATCACCTTCAGCAGCCAAGTTCACGGAAGCACACAGAGGATGGTGAAGGCATCTAAATGTGCATTCAAAGTCGTCGTATACCATAATTTTGTCAAATTTAGGTACATCGAGATAGCGAAACCTGTCCACCGAGAGCAGAACTTGCCTGGATATCTGTGATGATGTAGGTAGTATGTTGTCGGGGTCTAAACTTGCTGCTCCTGTCGGTGGAGAGAACGCTTACCATTTGTCTTTGTCGACAGATCTGTTTATTAACTTTTTATGAATAAACTTCGCATTATTTAAACTTACCGTAAGTGATAATTTTTGACACTAATTTTCATAACTATTTTCTAGTACACTTCCTTTTCCTTTTTTCTTAAACCTCTTTTTTTGTCCTGCGGGCGACTATATCTATTGCCACCAGTGGAAGACTTGGGTGATGCAAGTGTTGATTACCAGAGATAAACGCACAAAACTGTCTTCAAATAGGACATTTACGATCTCAAACTCGCTAGTATACATTCAAGTAGAAGAAAATTAGAAGTGCTGCTTTTGCCCAGCCAGGCCGTGAGCTCTAAATTTAGTGAAGTGCAATGAATTGCTAAGTTTCCAAACATTCTGTTTTTCTTGTGGACTGTGGACGTCATTGACGATTTGCTAGAGAAAAATTTCACAACAAGTGGGCGATAACCATTGCAGGAGACTCAAAGAATATGTAGGGCATAATTCAAGGATGAAGACTGCATTCACACGGCCATACTTTAATTTCATACCTGGGAGTGCAATACCAAAGAAAAGAAAACTGGATAACGATGAACCAGTTTAGTAAAGTAAAATTTACATACGAAACTTGACTTAAATTTGCAGAAAAATGCCGAAATTACTCCGCCCTTATTGGACTAAAATCATCCTCCGCCTCGCAATAAATTGAATGAAGACCAGACCACCTAGCGCATTTAACGATAGTTTGTTTCGAATGTTTTAGAAGCCTTTACTATCAATGTATAGGTCTGCATCACATGACAAACTGGCATGGCAAAAGATACCAAAATATTAGGTTGGTCACGATCAAGATCATCAAAGTTATAAGCTAAAATTGGAAGTGCTGAAAGTGAATTTATGCACTGCACTATCAATTTGTCTTTGTACACATTGACTTTAATTTTACATAAAGGGCTAATAATACATTCATCAGGTGGGCTATGATGAATTTTCTCGACGTTGTGATATGAGGTGGCCAAACTAACAAGTTTTTACCGTTTCCGTTGTCTGGCGATTGTGTTTGAGTTTCTTTTGATGTAAATCAGTCCGAGTATCATAAATCAAAGAGGCCAGGTCACTTTCTACCTTAAAAGGACTGTTGTCAGTAATGGTGACTGACGTTTCGACAACCTGAGCGAAAGTCATAATCGGAGTCATGTGAAATGTTGCTGTCAGTCGACTGAGTGTAGTCGAAATTTTGCATAATATGTTGGCCGGCTGTGCTAGAACTTCGTCAAAACAACAACATATCTTTATATTTCCATACTCGTCTACCTTACTTTTGTTAGCCTGAATAAATATATTATGGGAAAGGGGTTGGAATTTTGTGTTCAGCCGAGATCAAAAGTAGATATTTACGATCGTGGCCGCGGTAAAGATAAAATAGGTGTCAAACTGAAAAAAATTATTTTCAATGTAAAAAACCGTTAAAATTGGAAAACTTATGTAACTTGCTCTCAAATAGGATCCAACTAAATATGCGAACCAAACAAACTCCTCAACACGAGTTTTGCAAAAATGTGAGCACGACAATTTATGCCATTTTTGATGATCGGCGCTTTTAAAAATGGGCCTTTGAGCGCCGGAGCGATTTTCGCTCTGAGAAGAAAAAAACTGCAGTAATTCGAAAAGAACAAGATGGTTTCTATTACTTTGAGACTAAGAAAAATTCGTTGAAAGAAGTCGATGATTTTAACCGAAATGCCTGAACCCCTTTTTCGAGAGACTACATCTCAACTACGATTGAGAGAGACTAATTACCCCATCACTAACCCCCACTCAGTGATCGGTAATTGATAAACTAACCTTGCGAAGACACACGTACAGACGTCGTGAGGCACAGGACTAACAGAATACAGATAAAGATCGAATTCTTTATGGCGCTGAACCCTCTCCGGAAAAACATAAATTGATGGCAAATTTCGATCTTATAATTATTATTATTTACTTTCTTTTAACTTCCTATCTGATTATTACTGGTAGTTAAGGAGGTCACTATCCCTGGTAACCAATCATAGAGAGCTATTCTGCACCACTTGACCGACGTGGGCCAATTACCGTTGAGTATTTGTGACACACCCCACACTTGAAATGTAACGCAACATTCACAGGTGTTTACACTGTTAGACGTACAGACAGTTACCAATTAGACTAAGGAAATAACACACACTACTTTTCTTCTCTCAGGATGTCACGCGCCGTGGTTCCTTATTGTATTTCTCCTGCCCTCCATAACAAAAAAAATTGAATCTCGGAGGTAACTAGGCTGCCGTTAGTCAAGTAGGAATGTTACAAGTCATTCCGTGCGAAATCGAAGTGAGACCGTCTCAGTGCTGTACGAAAGGACCGAAAGACAACTTATGAAGTAGTAATTAAATGTCCTGGTCTGTCAATAATCTCTACTGAAGCATCTTTTTAAAGCAAACTTTATTAAGCTTTTAGTTTGTTGCTCAAGTCCTGAGTCGCGCCTTTCGATCAAAAGCCTTTTGCGGTATTCAGGAACATAATACGGTTTCGTAATCCTTTCTGCAATTCATAAACCTGATAAAACTCGATGAGCAGATAAGTATGTATTTCTCCCGGTTCTTATTCCCATTTCTTCTAACTTTGTGCCCTCGATGAAATGACTATATCTTAAGGCAACTACATTTGCGCTACGCGCATCTAACCATGTAAACTGTAGTTGTCCTAAAATGTCCCGCTCTCCACGCTGCAACCAGTTCCATAACCACCAGTTACAGATCAAGTTTTTTTTCTGTTTCATTTCATTGAATCATAATATTATAATTATGATTAGGAACCACTTCCACTAATTGACACCGAGAAATACTTTGGATTAACTTGACTATTTCAATTTTTTCTTTCTTTTTTCCACTTTAACTAAGTGATAAACAAAACTAGAGGTCGCTTATGCGGTGAAGAACTACCTTCGGCCGCGATATTTTTCCTAGATGGGAATGGAGATTTTTCTCTGTCTCGTGGCATCTTCAAGCATAAAAAATCTTCAAAGTACTCAATTTAGGCGTCAAATATAATGACCGGCAATGTTAAAAATGGGCCTTTGAGCGCGGAAGCGATTTTCGCTCTGGAATGGAAAAAAATTGCAATCATTCAAAAAAACAAAATGATTTAGATTACTTTGAGACAGATTCCTAGAAAGAAATCGATTTTTTAAGCGAAAAGCCCAGAACCGCTTTTTCGAGAGACTGCATCTCAACTACGATCGAGAGAGACTAATTTCCCCCTCGCTAACCCCCTGCTCAGTAATCAGTAATAAAGAAACTAACCTTGCGAAGACACAAGTACAGACATCATAGGGCACAAAACTAGCATAATACAGATAAAGATCGAATTCTTCATGGCGCTTAACCCTCAAGAGACCGACTTCCCAAAAAACATAGATTGATGGGAAAATTCTATCTTATTATTATTATTATTATTATTATTATTATTATTATTATTATTATTTTA